CCCTTTTTCTTTCAATAACCACGTTACAAGCCTTTATCCGTTCTATAATGACCCTTTCTTGGCACCCGATCTTTCCTTGGCATTCTTGATAAACAATTCGCAAAAACATAAGTTTGGGAGAGAGACGAGGAATGTGAAAGTGATAAAAGGTACAAATAACAAAAAGAAATGAAAAAAAAGAGGAAGGCAAAGAAAAGGAATAAAAGCCAAAAAGAAATATGTCAAAAAAAGTGAAAATTGAAGGGATTCAAAGAAAACAATGATGAAAGGCATGGAATGATTAGAAAAGGAGAAAAATGATTGTCATGAGCAAGAAAGAGTGACAGTGTGTCTCTTTAGTCCCCCTAAGGAAGAAGAAAATGACTCAAAGAGTCAAGAAAGTATGAGCCGAAATGAGAAAATGAAGTGCTTAAGGAAATATAAAACCATCATATGGCGATAAGTCCTACCTTGATCCAAAAGCCTCTATTACATCCCCACAAAAGCCCTATATGATTTCGAGTTGAGTGAGCTTACATTAGTGGTGATTTACATAAGGGGAAAGCTTGTGGTACTTAGAGCCGGACTTGTGACATTCTTTTGAGAGAGATGAGCGTACTTCTTCACAATCTTTGTTTTGAGTGTTACATTCTAAAGTGAGATTTGCTTATGGAGAATAGAGGAGGAGGAGTTTGGGTTCCAGAATGACCTACATAATAGAGAGAGCTTCCTTGGTGAATTAAGTCAACTCTTGATACTCTAGTGTCACAATAGATCTATGGTACTCAAAAGGTCATAACATAGCGTTGTTGATAATTCATTTGTGTTGAGGGTAATTGTTTGTCCCAATTGATGCATGATTGATTCACCTTAGGGTAGCTGAAATATCCTTCTGTTTAGTGGAGGTGGGAATTACCTTATTTGCTTGAGGACAAGCAAAAACTTAAGTTTGGGGGAGTTGATAAGTAGGGATTTTAACCTATTATTTGCTCCCTTTTACTTGTGTTTTGGGCCAAAAATGCGTGAAGGTATTCCCGAAAACAAATGTAATATGCTTGCTTGCAAGAATTGTTCAGAATGAGCCAAAGGAGTCATAATCAACTCATAACGGAGTTAAAAATTGAACAAAAAACCAAGACTGGCTAAGAGATCTGAAAACCGGACCGCTTAAATATTGGCCAGGATCAGAAATACGCGATCCGCGAAAGGGAGGTTTAGAGAGTTGCATTTTCAGGCTAAAAGATAAGCGCGGACCGCACCAGAAATGTGCGGCCGCAATGGAAATTATGCGGACCGCGATGCATGAAGTTTAGAGAGCTCACAACTTGAGCAAAAGAAAGAAGTGTAGTCCGCGTCAGAATTGTGCGGCCGCGATTAAAATTATGCGGTCCACGAAAATTAGATCAACCCAGATCTAGATATTAAGAACGCGGATCGCGATCAGAATTACGCGACCATGAAAGCAAGAATGCGGCCGCGCTCAGAATTACGCGGCCGCACAACCTCTGTAGGGGTATTTTTGTCCGGACATCTCAGCTTAGTATAAATAGAACTTTTTATCATTTTTAGGTTATGTTATGTGTTATCAGAGCACGTGAGACGGCTGTACATTCCGTTTTGGGAAATTTTGTACTAGAATTATATTTCAACATTAGATTTTCATCTTTTAATCTAGTATTATGAATTTTATCTTCTTTTCATCTTTGATTTCTGCTATATCCATGAGTAGCTAGACCCATAGCTAGGGTTGTGACCCAACCCTAGTGTGGGTATTTAATGGGTATTGAATTCTAGGGCTTGAATGTGTATGGGTTAGTGATATTTAGCCTAGTTCTTGCTAGAACTATGGAATTAGTGGTTGCAAACACTAATTCATGCCTTTATGACTTAGTATCTACTTGAGAAAGATGGACTAAGTCTAGGAAAACTAGGTTAACAAGGAATTGGGGTGAACTCAAGAAATTGATAGCCCCAATTAAAGGGTTAAACCTAGAGATAGCAATACCCGACTTGAGCTAATATCACTTGAATTGCATGAATACCTATTTGAACTTGAGAAAGCCAAATTGGGAAAAATCACTCAAACTACCGAGAGGTATAGAGTGAGTATTTGGGTGTGATAGCTATATTACGACCCCATTATAATCAAGCTTGCCCTAGATTCTTGCTACCCGTTAGATATCCACCTAGGTAGAAGTCACTACCCTAGTCTCTTTAAACCCTTGAAAATCAACAACAAAAACATTATACTTAGTTTCAAATATTGCATACAATAGAATAGAGTTAGAAGTAGAATCAATCCCAAAATGTGTGGAAGTGTAATCAAGAGCAAAACCCGCATCTAGACTTAGATATAAACCTAATTCCAAACAAATTAACTCCTTGTGGATTCGATCCCGACCTAGTTGGGTAAAACCGCATCGACCACCCTCGCTACTCAATAGTAGTGTAGGCTTGGACCCGATAAGAATGCCCCTTCTTCTACTCACTTGGAGAAATAGTCAGTTAAAACCAAAAGAAATTGTACATTTCCTCATCCCGCCGGGAGGGGTCCAACGATTCCCATTCCCCATTTGATGAAAGGCTAGGGCGAGGTGACTAAATGAAGGTGTCCGCCTGCTTGGTGAATCATGGAAGCGTATCTTTGGCATTGCTCGCACCTTTTGACAAAGTTGGCGACTTCCTTTTTCATTGTGGGCCAATAGTAGCCTGCTCGTATGAGGCATTTGACTAGAGCTCGGTTGCCGGTGTGAGCTCCGAAGTGGCCCTCGTATACTTCTTCGAGAACGTGCGGTGTTTGATTCGGTCCTAAGCACTTTGCTAGGGGACCACCAAATGTTCTTTTGTGCAGGTCGTTATTGACGACGGTGTACCTGGCCGCCTGCATTCGAAGCTTCTTGGCTTCTTTTTTATCGGGTGGGAACACTCCGTCCTACAAGTATGAGATAATATGATTGCGCCAGTCCCAAGTTTTGTTTATAGATCGTACCTCAATTTGGTCTAGTGATGAATGGAGGAGAGTGACCATGTCTCCCTCTTCGGTTATGCTTTTGGTGGCCGTTGCCAATTTGGCGAGGCCGTCCTCTTCGATGTTCTGCGCTCGGGGTATTTGATCGAGCCGGCATTCGTCGAACTTGGGTAATAGTTTGCAAATTTCAGCTTAATATTTCTGTAACCGTTGCTCTTTAATTTGGAAAGTCCCTGTGACCTGATTGATGATGAGTTGCGAGTCATATCGAAGGATGACTCGCCGTGCTCCGTACTTGAGTGCTAATTTTAATCCTGCAATCACAGCCTCATACTCGGCCTCATTGTTAGTCATATCAGGGCAACGTGTTGATTGGCGAACCATTTCGCCTGTTGGGACCTCGGGTACATGTCCCGATCCAGATCCTAATGCGTTAAAAGCTCCATCGGTGTACAAAATCAATTGGTCGTGTACTTTGGTGGAGGTAATGGCGGATTCCCTTTCGACCTCAGACATTATTTTCATACTGAAGTCAGCAAGAACTTGCGACTTTATCACCCTTCGCGGCTGATAGGTTATATCGTGCTCGCTCAGCTCTATGGCCCACTTGACCAATCTGCTCGACAATTCGGGTTTGTGCAAGATACTCCTTAAAGGAAAAGTCGTGACCACCGAGATGGGATGGCATTGGAAATAAGTTCTAAGCTTCTGCGAAGCTAAAACCAGGGCCAGAGCTAATTTTTCGAGGTGGGGGTACCTCGTTTCAGCGTCGACCAAAGTTTTGCTAATGTAATAGATTGGAGATTGCATACCTTTATATTCTCGTACCAGGACGGCACTTACTGCGACGTCGGACATGACCAGGTAGACGAGGAGGCGCTCTCCGGGTTCTGCCTTAGCGAGCTACAGTGGCGAAGACAGGTAGGCCTTTAATTCTTTTAAGGCGTTGACACAATCGGAATTCCATCGGAGTCCATTATCCTTTTTGAGTACGCCAAAAAATTTGTGGCATCTATCGGAGGATCGCGAGATAAATCTTGATAGGGCGGCTATCTAGCCGGTCAACTTTTGCACTTCCTTTTTACTGGTCAGCTTTTCTAGGATTTCTTCTATGGCCTTGATTTGGTCGGGATTGACCTCGATGCCTCGTTGTGATAACAAGAAGCCGAGGAATTTTCTCGATGTCACACCGAAAACATATTTCTCAGGGTTTAATTTCATGTCATACCTTCTGAGTATGTTGAAGGCTTCCCTCCGGTGGTTGATATGGTCTTCCTCTCTCTTTGACTTGACCAACATGTCGTCTATATATACTTCCGTGGTCTTGCCGATAGATATTTGAAAATTTTGGTCACCAACCTCTGGTACGTTGCCCCCGCATTTTTTAAACGGAACAACATCACTCTGTAGCAGTACGTCTCCTAATGGGTGATGAAGGTGGTTTTTTCCTGGTCCTCCTCTTCCATGAGGATTTTGTTATAGCCCGAGTAGGCATCCAAGAAACTTAGCAGTTCGTGCCTGGCTATGGTGTCGATGAGTGGTCGATGTGGGGTAGCGGGAACGAGTCTTTTGGGCAGGCTCTGTTCAGGTCTGTGAAGTCTACGAACATTCTCCACTTACCGTTCTTCTTTTTCACCATGACTACATTGGCGACCCACTAAGGTTACTTCGATTCTCTGATAGAGCCGTTCACTAATAATTTCTCGACATCTTCATGAACTGCGTTGTTGATTGCAAAGTTGAACTTTCGTCTGATTTGCCTTACTGGGGGGTAAAATGGGTCGACATTCAGCTTGTGAGTTGCTATCTCCTTTGGGATACCTGGCATGTCTGCATGGGAAAAAGCAAATAGGTCTACGTTATTTTTTAAGACCTAATGAAATTTACCTGGATCTTGGAGTTTATGGCGTATAAAAGCTTTCTTGCTGTGGTCGTCGTCATCTAGTTGGACGGGGTCAAGGTCCTTTACGGTTGACCCCGTGGCTTTTATGATTTCAGGGTCGCTGATGACGTCTTTCTTTTCATCACCATCAGACTCTGACTTCATTAATTGCTATGCTTCCTCGGCTTTTCCTTTCAACTGTTTGGTGTATGTGCAGTCTTGGGCGATACGATAGCTTTCTCGTGCCATGCGTTGCTCTCCCCGGATGCAGAATACTCCCCAGGTGGTGGGAAATTTAATGACTTGGTACAAGCTGGAGTGGACGGCTTTCATGGCGTGCAACCATGGTCGGCCTATGATGGCGTTGTATGCCGTATCCTGGTCCATGATGTGGAACGTGGTCTCTAAGGTGACGCCACCGGCCAAGACGTACAGCGTGATTTCTCCAGAAGTCCGCCCAACTATATTGTTAAAACCCGTTAGTGTGATGCAACGTGGCACTATCCTGTCCTCGAGCTTCATTTGGGTGAGAACTCGAGGATGGATGATGCACGCGCCACTTCCATCATCGACCATGATACGTCTTACATCAGTATGAAGAACATGTAAAAGTAATAACAAGGGCGTCATAGTGAGGAAAGACCAAACCGTGGGTATCCGACTTATCGAAGATGATACTTTCTTCGAGTTCGTCATACTGTTCCAGGGTGATTGACCGCATGAGCTTGTGAGCGGTGGTGAACTTCACGCTGTTGATGGATGCGTCGTCGCCTCCTTCGATGATCATTCGAATGGTCCAAACCAAACAAGGTGGTTTAGGCGGCCCCTGATGCTGCTCTCGCCCTCGGGTGAAGTTGGCCCTCCCTCGACCGCTCATAACTCTTTTAGGTGCCCTTGGTGAAGCATGTTCACGACCTCCTGTCTAAGGGCAATGCAATCCTCGGTCTTGTGACCCCGTTCTGATGAAATTTGTTGCGTCCAAACGCACATGCAAGTATACGCGGCCGTCAAGTAATAAAGTGACTAAAAGTCGGATGTCGAACCCACGAGGACTTGTGATTAACTATTAACTAAATTAGACTATCTTAATTATCTAAACAGGAATTAAACCTAGAAATATTTGATTCTAAACTAATTAAATTAAGATATATAAATAATGAACTTTGAACAGAGAAAGAGCAGATTTTTATGATATCAATGTAATGAAAATGATCTAGGGTTATGGGCTATCTAACATTCCTATTGTATTCTTCAATTGAATTGACTAACTAATTTATCTAGTTTATTGGTTAACAGGGTTAATATTGCTCATAAGAATCTGTCGAGTTCTTACTCGCCTATTCAAGCTAACCTAACTCCTATATGTTTATGGAATTAGAACTAACAAGAACGCATTTATAATTCCTGTAAATTAACCAAGCAAGGCAATTAGGTATATGTCTATCCTAACCGCGAATCCGTTCCCCGATGCCCAGGTTCAAGAACTTGCTCTACTCAATCCTATATGCAATCTAGAATTCCCACTTTCGAGTTCAATTCAAGATTCGTAGATAGTATTTAATTGGTGATCAAGCAATTAAATAATTTAGTGCAGGATTAAATAAATAAACTAATACGACAAATCAAGAAATTAAAATTAATATTCGAATAACAATAGTGATGAAAGAACCACAACCCTAGAACGTGAAGTTTAGCTCCACATAGCCATGTTACAAAGTTTGGTGGAAGAAAAGATGGAACTTGATGAATTCCGGCCTCCACGGCGGCTCTATGCTTGTGTTTTCCTCTTAAAAACGTCCTCCCTCAAAATAGGTTTTAGGATGGCTTTTATATCAATTGGAGGCGTCTTGGGGTGAAAATAATCGAGTCCAAGTTGGAATAGGACACTCTAGCGATCCGAGCATCTAGGGCAGCGTGGGGCGCTGGCCCTGGCGCTCAAAATAATTGACTACTAGAAACTGGGCCACAGCGAGCGCCCCACGCTGGCTGTGGCCCTCAAAATTGGCTTTTTGCGTTTTTGCTCCGATTTCGCTCCAATTCGCGCCCTTTCGTCCCAAATTGCATCCAAATGATTCCTACAGATAGAAACACCATAATTTAGCACAAATCATCATATTAAACATCTCAAATCATCGAAACAAGAGCAACATGCGAGGCGATATATATCAAAATATACATACTTTATGCTGATTATCAACACCCCACACTTAGACTCTTGCTCGTCCTCGAGCAATGGAACTAAATCAATTCCCCAAAACACACTTATAACTATGAAAGAGCACTTCACAATTAATTCAATCAAACACTCTACCTTTGGACTATGATCGGTATCGGCAATTAAGTATGAACACGCGAATTTCACATTCTTCCTTTTTTTTTTTGCAAATTAGCCCAAGTATATACAATACTATTCAACCAACTCAAGCAACCTCTCCACAACCACCTTACCTCAAGAGATGACTCGTTACACTAAGTATCCTCAATATACACACTCACCCAACAAAAAAAAGTGTACAACATCACCAATCCATCATGAGACCAGGTCGCCTCACCACAAACCAAAGAGTGATTATCAAAGTCCACATTTAAATATGTCATTGAACATAATTCAAGGACATCACACAATTGAACAAAATTCACTCACTCTCACAAAGAATTCATGTGAATCCCGTGGTCGTACCATAAGCTTGCCCGTAGTGTATATCTCTACTAATCTAAGCTAGCCAAGTCTAGGATCAATTAGGACATTAAGGTTGTAATGTAGGCTAAGGGACGGGTAGGATATATTTAGGAATAGTGACTAACCCTCCTAAGAACTTTAATACACTACACTCAAAAATCAAGCTCAATTTTTTCTCAACCCATTCACTTGTCATACACCATATATAACATAGCCCTTTTTTCCAATTAAGCACCTCTATGGATTCACTAGCATGAATGAAGAAAAAATATTAAGAGGTGTGTATCTTTTCACATTATTTGAACTTTTATTTGCTTTTTCTTGCAGTTTTTTCTCTACACACACTCCATGCATTGAAGTTCTCAAGCTAGTGACTTTTATTCACAATCTTAGTGCACCTTAAGGGCCCTTCCATGGTTCCACTCGAAAGTAACTCCCAAATCTCTCCCCTTACTTCTTTTAGCGACTAAGTGCCTTAGGAGGTAAATGTTCAACATTCTCAAATCAAGAACAAAGTAGGAGTATGGCTTGTAATGTGGGTGCCAAGGAAACAGTCTATATGCTCAAAGGGCTAGCAATGGGAAAATTTTATTTATAAGTGACAAGTACCTTCATGGTCAAGCAAGAAACGCCTACATCATCTCCTAGACTAGCATAACTTAATGATTTCGCGTTGATTAACACACGGGGCAAGTTCTAGACTACACACGGTTCTGTGCAACTCTCAAGTCAAGCAAGCTAGCAAGTTGAGAATTTTAAAGCAATAATGCACTAGGTAGCATACAAGTCAATCAACTGAGAAGAAGGCATCGAAGAGTAGGCTACTTACTTTACTTGGGCATTACAATTTAAATCATATATGCAGAAAGATAGAGCGCATGACATAACTTAAATTGCCAACACCAACCATGTCAATAGGTATCTCAAAGCACCTCACTTTCCCTTTTCCTACTCCTAAGAAAGAAAAAATAATAATAACAATAAAAAAACTAAAGTAGAATACCCGGTTCGAGCTAAACCCTTGGAAAAGAACCGGTGTCGAAAGAAAAACCAAGGGATACTATCTAACTACCTAAAAACTAAAAAAGTAAAAAGAAAATCTTTTTGGTTTTTTTTATTGGACTTTAGTCCCTCAAGAAAATTGTCCAACAGATCCATCGTCGGGAAAAGTCCAAACTTCTTCTGATTTTTTTTTTCAATTTTCATTTTTTTTTCAAATATTTTTTTTTCTTTACATAATATCTACTACACTAAGAAAGAATACTACAACTAACCTAGGATAGCACAAAAAATTATCCAAACAATCTCCTCACCCCACACTTAAAATTGTGCAATGTCCTCAATGCACACTGTAAATAACAAGAGGGTAAAAGGGACTCCCTGGTAGGCCAAAGGCCGAAACATTAGCAGCTCACGGGATACTCAGACTTCTCCCAGGTATGATCCTTTATGCGGTCACCCCACACTTAGTTCCAACCACATGGCTCACTTTTGCACACTTCCTATGGCTTTGCTCCATATGCTCAAAATCCTACAAAATAAAACAACACTACAAAAATAATACAATAAGAAAAAAAATCCAAAAAAAAAAAAAGCAGTAAAGCTGGGTTGCCTCCCAACAAGCGCCTAATTTAATGTCGCGGCACAACGTGAACCACTTTTTCCTCCACCTCGAGCTTATGAATTGTACCCCTAACATGGCATCCAGTCTGCGGCTATGCTCCAGTGGTGGGGCTACAAAGATAACCAGGCCAAGCAATAAAATTTTCACTCTACACTTCTTGGCCTTTAGATGAGGAATGTATTTTTTTCTTTTTGGCACAACAAATTCAAGAATATAGGCACTCTCATCCTTACTCTTTGACCCCCTCATTGGCTCAGATGACTCAATTACTATCTTACTATCTAAACACATTGTGAAAAAATGATTGGAAAGAGGTCTAATGCGCCCTAACTCAAACATTTTACTACTATTTGCATCCCCATATTTACACGCACTCAAGTCTCCCAAGTAATGTTATCTACGCCATCATATGACTTTAGATCACTCTTCTCAACATTGGTATCTTCAAGAAAAATATGGTCTAATGATTGGTATTCTCGTTTTAGCTCTTCAATTTGTTCTAGAAGACTTTTTCCAGCTTCACACAACTCATTATTAAATTGTTGGGCGTTACACGCATCAACCTTTGCATTCAAATCTGCATCTAAGTTATGTACAACCAAGCCAAAATTCTCAATTTTATGTGCAAGTTCATCTCTCTTCTTAGACCAATCATTCACCAACGTTGTTAGAAGACAACGTCGTTCCGCATATTCGCCTAATCGAGAATATCCATCTCAATACCAACCTTTACTCCCATATTCAAATTCAGACCTCCCAGAGTTCAGGTCATGACAAGCCCAAAAAGACGGGCCATAAAAGTCTTCCGTCAACCAAGCGTCTTCATCAATAACCTTACCTCTATATATTTCATCCCCAGATGTCATGCTGAGAAAACTAGAAACACACTAAGAGAAAAATCAAATAGTTATAAAAATAAAATATTTACAAAAAGATAAGGAAAAAAAACTTGTAAAGATACAAGTAAAAGTCTAATCTAGAAAAATAGTTAATTTCTATGTCCCCGGCAACGGCGCCAAAAACTTGTTGCGGCCAAACGCACACGCAAGTATACGCGGTCGTCAAGTAATAAAGTGACGAAAAGTCGGATGTCGAACCCACAAGGACTTGTGATTAACTATTAACTAAATTAGACTATCTTAATTATCTAAACAAGAATTAAACCTAGAAATATTTGATTCTAAACTAATTAAATTAAGAAATATAAATAATGAACTTTGAACAGAGAAAGATCAAATTTTTATGATATCAATGTAATGAAAACGATCTAGG